AATAAAAGTTCAAGAGATGAGAAACTTCAGTTACGAAGATAGAGTAGAGATGTTAGGCCCGTCCTTCAAGAAAACGCAGCTAAGAAGGGATCTGATCGAAGGTTTCAAAACAGAGGTCTGGATAGAGGAGATAGGGAGAAACTGTTGACACTTGTGAAAGGATCAAGAACAAGACGGTACAGAATTAAAGTGATTTGCAAAAGAAGCCAACATGATATATCATTTCACACAGCACGTGGTTTTGGTTTACAATACACTACCTGGAAGTGTGATAGAAGCATTTTCAACTGAGGCAGCTCAAGGGGGCATTAGATGATTATTTAAACAGAAACAATCTGTAAGCATGTGGGGAAAAAGCCAAAGGTGGCAAATGGTCTCCTTTTGCACTATAACAATTTTGTGATTTTGAAACATTGAAGATTCTGAGGAGGCTCAACAAAACGGATGCCAGGTAGCTGGTTCCTCTTGTGGGGGAACCTAATACAAGGGGGCAGAGTTTAAAAATAAGGCAGCTTTCATTTAATAATGGAAGAAATTCTTCTCTCAGAGGATTATTAGTCAGTGGAATTCTCTGCCACAGATTGGTAGCAGTAGTTGTATCATTGTATCATTGGGCTAGGCTGAGTTTTGATCTGTAAAGGATTCAAAGGTTGCACTGGACAGGAAGCAAGGTGGAGTTAAGGCCACATCCCAGTCAGCAGGATCTTTCTGTATGGCTGAACAAGCACAAAGGACCAAAAAGGCCTCTTTTGCTCTGAATTCTTATGATTTTATGTGACTCGCGGAATAATCTCTTTTTTTTAAACTGTTCTGATGTAATCTACAAGTCATACTTCAACTAACTCCAAAATTCATCTTTGTCGACATCTAGAATATCTACATAACCATAAGACACAGGAGCAGAAGTAGGCCATTCAGCCCGTCAAGTCTATTCCGCTATTCAATTAGATCATGGCTGACCTGATATATCCTCTCAACCCTACATTTCTGCCTTTTTCCCCATAACCTCAGACCCCCTTACTGATTGAAAATCAGTATAACCATATCACGTCCTCTTCAATGAACCAGCTTTGTTCATGCCTTTACCACTTCATCTTTTTCTCAACACAAACTCCAGAACACCCAGGGCCCCGCAGCCCAAGTCTTCTCCTGCATCATATTCAGCCTTGCCGAGTTCTATCAGCTTTTCATGAGTCAGTGAATTAACACAAATCATCATTCTGGTCTTTAAATTTTTCTGCAAACTCGCCCCATTCTATCTTATGGGCCTTCAGCTAAACATTCTAGCCCATAATTTTGTTCTTTGAGTGAAGGCTGTTTCAGTGCAGTGCTGGGAGATGGATACATCGACTTGATTGCCACCTCTTGAATTTGATAATGAACGGAGGCCTCAAGTGAACAAATAAGATGGATATGAAAGGAGCGCTTTAAAGAACCAGTATTATTTACTGAGCAATTTTCCAGTGTGTGTGATCTTGCTATGTATAAGTTAGTTGCTGCATTTCCTACATTGCAGTGACCACAAGGTCAAAAAGGCATAATTGGTTTTGAAGTTCCTTGGATGTCCTGAGATTCTGAAGGATATGATATAAAGGATTACAGTTCCAGACATGAAGGATTACTGTTACATGGATAGACTGAAGAAGCTGTGTTTTACTGCAAAGGCGGCTTAAGGGGAGATTTAACAGATGTTCAAAATTGTGCGGGGTTTATACAATTTAGGCAAGAGTGAAGAGAGTGAAACTATTTCTAATGGCTGAAAGATTGATCACTAGACCACAGATGAGTGGCAAAAGAACAAGATGTGACAAGAGGATTTCTTTTAATATATAAACACACTAAGTGGTTAAGGATTTGGAATGCACCATCTGATGAGCTATTGTACGCAGATTTTATAGTAGCCCTGAAAAGGGTATTGAAGAAATAATTGTAGATTAAGGGGAAAAGGAGCAAGGGAGTGGGACTAACCTGATATCTCTTTGAAAGAATAATGCAGGCCCGATAAGCCAAATGGTCTCCGAAGATACTGTTTGAGATTCATCTCCTTTTTTCAGCTAATGTATCCTTGTTGAATGACCAGCTCTCCCTAAACTTAAACTCTTCAAAATTGGATTTGTCTAATTGTACTGGTGCCTTTGTCTTACACCACAGCCACCCCCAAAAATTTTTCCATTCATCTGCCATCTCCCTTCGTGACAGAAGGATGCCTTTGCATGTGAAAATATGACTACTTGCATTTATGAAAAAATAAAAATTTATGAAAAAAAATAATAATTGTGATTAAATCATTGTGTTTTAGTTCTATGTCACACAATTTCATGTCACACTCAGGCAAAAAGAAACAAGATTCTCTCCTACAACAACATGCAGCAGCCCCACAGTGGGGGCAGCCAGCAGCCCAGAGCAAAGATAGTTACTGTTTGGGAACCGATGGAGCCCGATCAGACCATGTGGAAGTCCTTATGGAAAGGAAGTAATGTCTATCTTTTTAGAGAAAACAAGATGTAGAGCTAGATGAACACAGCAGGCCAAGCAGCATCAGAGGAGCAGGAAAGCTGATGCTGCTTGGCGTGCTGTGTTCATCCAGCTCTACACCTTGTTATCTCAGATTCTCCAGCATCAGCAGTTCCTACTATCTCTATCTTTTTAGCTTTTTTCCTTCTTTTTCTAACTTACACTATGTATATCTGTAATGTAGCACAACCTTTTTCTTTATTTTCTCTATTTTTGTACCCAAGATTTGTACCTAGGTACATTATACCTAAGATGGCGCCATGTGCTGGCGACATTGTACACATTTCATGGTACTCCTGTTCTTTTGTAACCTGAGTACATGTGACAATAAACCTAATTCTAGTTCTAATACATTGGAGCCTTAATATTTCCATGCAAGAGTTTCCAAGAAAATGCAGTTCAAAGTAGAATTTGACAATCATTTGTGAGCCGTATGACATATTACCAACTGTCACTGCAATTGCTTCAAAGACACAGGATTCTCTTTTAGCACGTTACAACAGACATTCCAAGTATGTGCATCACAACGAGAAACAGTTCCAGCATTTCATTCATTTCCAACCTCGTTCTATAACAATTTGCTGAACTGTCAGCATGCACATAATTAGTGCCACTGTTCTACCTCCTACCAGATCTACCAAGACAGGAATACTGAATGTTATACAGACAATAAAAAAGGTTTCTGTGATTCACTAAAAACTAAACCACTTAAAAATATTTAGAATGATAGAATCCCTACAGTGTGAAAACAGGCCCTTCGGCCCAACAAGTCCACACCAACCATTGGAGCATCCCACCCAGACCCACCCCCCTATAACCCACCTAATCTACACATCCCTGAATACTGTAGGCAATTAAGCATGGCCAATCCACCTAGCCTGCACATCTTTGGATTGAGGGGGGAAACCGGAGCACCCAGAGGAAACCCACGCAGACACAGGAATTTAGGATGCACAACCTACAAGTTCCAGCATAAAGAGAAATTAATTTTTCCATTAGCAATTGCTCAGTCACTTTACCCTTCAGCTGAATCATTAAATGATTTAAGCAAAAGCTCAGAAAACCATCCTATTGTACAAGCATAGGCAAATGTGCTATGGAGTGACATAACGTAAACCATGCTTTGCTGGTACCTTTACAATAATGCAAGTTGTCCATCATCTGTATATTGTTGGAGGAATAGGAGAAACTGTAAAAGTTAAAAATTATGACCCAACTGAATGATAAAACAAATTGGAGTGATTGACTAGCCCAAACCTTATTCTATGGGCTGAATTTGAATAATCATCTAAGAGTCCACTCCGTGGAGTTTCATGGATGGTTCCTCTCCATGAGCTTTAGTGAATTATCCCATGGAATTTTATGCTACTGACCTCATTACGGATGTAAATTAAGGGAACTACAAAGCTACAAAGGCACAGTTGACAAAGGGAGACAGAAAAATCACTTAAGGAGATTGTTCATTATTCTCAGTAACACCCAAATCCAGAAGATAAATAAACTTTAAAGAAATCACTTTTGGATACATTTTTTGCTTTAAAAAAACCACAACAGAATGGCAGAGTTTGTTGCACACAGGCACCAAGGTTAACTTAATTTATAAACATAAATTTTGTTGGTCTTTAAATCAGTCCAAAATGATATGGGAGGGAAGCGGAGGGGGGAAGAAATGGAACTAAGGAATTTTTTAAAAATCAAATGAGCAATTCTGGTACAGAAAAGATATCCTCTTGTTGACTAGGCTGGAAAAGTTAAACATTGCTCCCAACAGCGCAAAACAAATTGGAGAACAGATTGCCTGTTGTACCAGACTGCAACAAGATCACTTAACTCCCATTAAGCCAAATGTTTTAAAAGACATACCAGCACCAGTCCTTATACTTCAATTGTACAATTTCCTGATCTGTTCAACAATTATATATATTTCAATATCTAATGAGAAGAAAAAATTATGAAGCTATTTACTAAATTGGACAGTCTAAGTGGAAGCACATTTACATCAAGGCAGTTTCCAGCTAACTTGCTTATTAAAAAGTACAAGTTATAACAGGCCACTTAAAATTTTGAGTTCAAGTTTGTGGACTGTTAACTACTCTGAGTCTTCTAATAGAACATATAAACAAAGAAACCTTGTGGACTGAGGTATGTTTGGTTAAAATCGAATGAAGACTAAATTAAACAAGCAGTACCATACTGAAACTCTCAGCTCCAGCTGCATTGAGAGGAAACAAGGAATAACATTTTTTATATTTCTGAAAGATTATGCTAATAACATGACATTTATTATCATGTGTCTTCGATGTCTAGTAAGCTGTTGAACCAGTGCTTTTGGGAAAAGACTTTGAATGAAAAGGTGTGGCACTAGGGCAAAACAGAAACCAAAGTCAAAATCATTCTTCTGGCAATCTGACCAAACTCTTGTTGCCTACATTGCACAGGTTGCTCTTCACAGTTGGAAGTACTCAACTTTGTTCACTACAACTCACCAGAGAGAGTTTTCTTTCAACATCACATCCCCAGTGCAAGTCTACGGAATTAAGTTCCTGAAAAAGGAATAAGAAAAAGTGATTAAATCAGCTGATATATCTGTGAAGAATATAATTACATATTTTATGGGACATTTTCCCTTTTGGGAATTAATGGTAAATTTCTCCTCTGCTGTACAACTGGGCTATTCAACGTGCGAAGATTAAATCAGTGCAGGCTAACTGGGCTGAGGAACCTCTGCTGTGCTGTATGACTCTGATTAAACTGCAGATGAATGCGTTATCTGAAATCTCCACCTAGATATTTCTGAAGATGATACATTTTCACTCAAACAAAATAAATGTTCTGCTCAGCCAGCCATGAAATCCACTAATTATGGCACAAGAGATTTATGAAATTGAAGTTCTCTTACAGGGATTTAACTTTCAGACAAGAGTAATAACTTAAAAATCCAAACTAAAGCAGTCACATTCTTGGACATAATACTTTACCAATTACATCAGTACACTTCTAACCAGCATCTGGGTTTCTGCATTTGGGTTCACCAGTGTGAGAATTTTGTTGCAGTCAGCAAGCCTTCACAACACAAATACTAAATTCTAGCAGATTTTGTGCATGGCCATGAGGAAACAGGGCTGCTGCTTCTACTCTGCTCCTATGATGCTGCTTGGCCTGCTGTGTTCATCCAGCCCTGCACCTTGTTGTCTCGGATTCTCCAGCGTCTGCAGTTCCTACTATCTCTGCTTCTACTCAGTGTACATTGCCAATGGCTGTGTAACTAAAAGATCTTGTGCGATTCAGTCTTCAATTATGTCTGAAGAGATGGAGTGTAAGGTTGGGAAACCTGTTTTAGATTCGGCTTGTCAGTGAAACAGGTTGAAGCAACTCTAGCTCTCGCAGAGACACAGGCTTTTGAATTGTGATGTTGAGTGTGTAAGAGCTACCAACTGTCTGCAATTAACTCAGCAGTTGAAGGAACGAATGTCCCATGAAGCGTTTCCATCTACCAACTAAAAGGAAGATGGAAAAGTCAAACATTTGTCAACTGAAGGCTGGATCAAGAATGTGCAGCTGGTCCAGTATCCAAGTGGTTCATTGAGTGTGAGCAAGTGGCATTCATGATGTGGCATTCAAATGACAAAGTCAATAGAGAAATACAAAAGAAAGGGCTTACGTTCAAAGAGCTGGAGACTCTTCTTTGAAGTCCTCATGAGGGTAGTTGGAGGTAACCACAGCTATAGGCGAAATTCTAGGGATAGATGCATTCTGAAGGAGCGGACACAATTCTCTCTACTATTCTCACTAATAATATAAAAACCAGGAGCAAGAGTAGGCAAATTTAATGCTCACAAAGGGTGCCTTGTATGAGTCTTAGTGTCGCTGGTCGACGTTTTTGAAATCGTCTGAATAGCAAAATCACAACTACTTGATCTAAAGAGTACGATCCAAGGGAAAACCCAGGGACTGGGCCAATTCACCAAGTGTGATGTTCTGAAAAACCAAATGTAGAGCCAAGCAGTTTCATTCTGGTTAGTTAGTCCAAGGACATTTACATCATCTGAAGAGTTATTTAGTTGCAATTGTACACCACCACCACTTATGGCCTATGTTATACTACAGCAGAGATCTAATATCTTAGCAGTGTGCTTTATCCACCACTATTACAAAATCACGTTTATGAATTTTATATTTTATACTTTTCATGTATTTAACATTATAATTTTTACAAAGATTTCTCCCACCACCAATTTCACACCTCATCCTGGCGCCATCGGGTTGGTATCTTGACATCCTCGGCCTTAGCTGGGCTGATTATAATGTCAGATAACAAGGTGTAGAGCTGGATGAACAAAGCAGGCCAAGCAGCATCAGAGGAGCAGGAAGGCTGACGTTTCGGGCC